CCAATGGAAGGAAAAGTAACAAAAACTAAAAATCAGTGAATGAATGAAAGTAGCCATGACCATAAGATACAAGATTAGTTTCCCAAGCAGGCAACAGTACTGGGGATTATCTCAGTGTAGTAGCATCCAGGCATTCCCCATCATCATCATCATTATATTCATTGTTATTATTACTATTGTTAATTTTGCCTATCAACAGCTGCTTGAAATATCAAGGAAATGAAATATAACTGCCAAATACTTATCATTGCCAGAAATTGTTCAACTTAATTATATTTTATTAATTGATGTACATTTTGTGTATAAACCCAACACTAGTGCAATGGATTTCAATGTCACCAACATTTTTGTAATAGCAGATCCAGGCAGTTTGGTGAGCCCAAATCAACTCTAATCATGACAACTGCATTGAAAGACACTACCACTTTAATGAGAATGTAAGAACTTGGTGCTTATCCTAGGTGTTAAGTGGGGTCATCCATGATTACTAACTCTTCCCTTTAATATATAAGGTTAAAAGTTAACATACATTAAAAAAAGGGGGGGGGGACATCGATTTTGGGCATTTCTAAGAACTAACAGCTCAAAGATCAACACTCTTATCTCTTCCAAACAAACTGATGAACTGGGAAAAGAACCATGACAATTTATTTTATAAACATCAATAGACATTTAAAGGGGCAATGCCAATAAAAGCATGTGATACGCAGGCACCCATGGACATCCAATCCTGCTTCATGTGTGGAAGCCCTTTCAAGGGTCAGAGCCAAAGAAGTATCATGGACTGTTACAGAACAAGTGTATCCAAGCCTATATATTGGACCTTAACAGGAAGATGTAAGACAGACAGACAGACACACACACACACACACACACATATACACACACATACACACACACACACACATACACACACAATTAATAACCTGAGATTTCATGTTTAACCAAAACTATGAAAAGAAAGAAGTCTGTTTTCTTAATATAGTTGTTCTTCTTAGACATCTAAAATTTTCAGAGTCTCTGGCAAGCTACCCTTTACAAAAGGAAAACCCTGTAAGAAATAGCAGAATTTCTGGGATTTGGGGCATCTTGGACAATCTTAACTAGAAGCATATAAATACTGGTAAGGTCTACTATAAGCCCAAGTATTGGCTTACTTGATGTTTTAAGACTCGGGGTGATAAGCTGTGAGTTGGGGAAAGATTCTGTCCATAAAGAAAGAGAAATTTTAAATAATTGATCATTACCTTAAAACCAGTATGGAAAGAGCCAAAATCTTTGCCGTATGAACTTTTACCTTCGAAACTTAACTACAGGTAAAAAGAGCCACACTCTTCAGTCTATTCTTCTTAGCAATCAATATAATCCAAGTACAGTCCAGGTTATGGAGTCATCAATGGGAAATGATGCCAGAGCTAGCATTTCCCTTCAGGAAGTCTGGCCAGAAAAGCCAAATAAAAGCCATCTGCATCTATCTCTACCCCATAATAAGTAAAAGCTGTGGGTCAAAGGTTACATTCTCTGAGTAAGACTTTTTTATATATAGTCACGAGTTTACAATAGTTTGGTCAACTCTATTGTTTTGTATTTATTTAATGAGTGATTTTGATATCAACAATCAGAGTACAATTTGATTCCGCTTCCCAGGATGTCTTTTTAAAGTGCTGACATAACCATTTTACCCCTCTACCTGGAAACCTCTGAGAGCTCCCATTTTTCAGGCGTTTAGGTTCCCATTTCCCTAGCTTTCCAGGCCCTTGACAAATGGATTAAATCTAGCTGTTTGGCATCATCTCCCAACACTTGCTAACATGTAACACACAGCTCTTTCACAGCCATGTCATTTTCATACACACAAATGAACTGATGTTGATTAACTGATTAATGTCCCCCAGGAAGGCCTGTCTCCACTTTTTCTTTGCCTAGAAAACGTCTATCAGTCAGAGTCCATGCAAGCAGAACTAAATATTTCTCCTTAGTGTGCCATACACTTTATTCATCTTATGGAATGTCACTTAACACACTGTATTATGGTTACTTATACCTTGATAAAATAGGAGGGCCTTGGGGAAAAAAGGTTCCATCTTATTTATATTGGGCCAATAGTAGATGCTCAATAAACATTTGTTGTCCTGAATAGAGATTAATTAGAGTATATTTTAATAGCTCGGCTTATGAAGGTGGACCTAAGTTCAACCCTCGTTCCTCTCCTAACAAGTTGTTTCTTAAACTCTGCACTTCAGCCTCATAATTTGTAAAATACAGCCAAAAATATTGATCTTATAGTATTGTTATGAAAATGAAGTGATATGATGGATATAAAACTACTTAGCACAATATCTTGAGAACAATAATCTATAAGTAAAAGTTAGCTGTTATATAATTAATATTATTACTTCTAGACTATATATATTAAAAAGATCTATTACCTTCATCGGAGTAAATAAATCAATATGTATTATCAACACAGAAAAAGAAAAATCACCATGAGCCCCCAGACATAATGCCATATCTTCTGGCTTTGTCTCTCTGCCACCACTTACTATGGGATATTTATTTCCTAAAACTGTTCCAGACTCTGGGGTCTATTTCTGCCTGTGCTGAACACAGGCAACACCTCAATATTTCTTATCTGCTCCCCCCTTCCCAGGTCTGTTGGGGAAGCTGAAGGAGAGTGTAAGTATGTGGTTAGCATGCTTGATCTGACCAAACTGAAGGTGTGTGTGAAACACATCACTAAGACTCCAAGGAAGGAGACACAGGTATGTTCACTGTGAAAAGAGACGCTCAACAGGGGGTGTTTCTGGACAAACAGGTGCTGTCTTGAGGGTGTATAGGGTGTGCTAGTGACAACGTCACTGGCACATTCTCATTTCTAACCCTTGGGGCTGAATATCTAGTATTAATCCTTAGTAAATAAGGAGTAGAAAGGAAAGACAGGGAGGGAGGAAAGAAGGGAGGGAAGAGAAAAACCATATGCTTTAGCCAGTTGAAACACCTAAGACTTTTTCCTTCTCTTGAAAAAAAGATGTTTAATCAGGTAAAAGAAACCAAATTTTCTTGCTAGATAGTATCCCCCCACATTCATTTTTAAATATCAATTTTAAAGACAAAGATGGTTTTCCATTTTCAGACATTGATATGTTAGTTCTCCATAGTAAGGCTTACGAAAGGTATGGGAGGACTGAACTTGTCACTACCACTAATCTGATGCTCCCTGGTTGTGTAAAAAAAATGGCAATGCTGAGGAGAAAGAGAAGAGTACTTTTTATAAGAAATATTGAGGTGTTGCCTGTGTTCAGCACAAGTCACTAATAAGAAAGCAAAGGCTTCTCCAACGGGAACTACATGCAAACCTGCTGGCACTGGGGAGTGAGGGCGGCACGATGGTAGTTCGCCTGCAAAGGTGGCTGTCCACAGTTCTTTTCATCCAGAGATGGGGTCTATTTCTGGCCCCTTCAATCTGGCTGGACTTATAACTTGCTTTGACTAACAGAATGTAGCTGAAGTGATATTTGTCTGTGCTAGGCCTAGGTCTTAAGAGGCCTTGCAGCTTCTTTGGCAATGAACAAAACAGACAGAAGCACACATTCTTGTGGAGGTCAGAAAGGCAACAGGTCTAATCAGTAAGTAAATTATATAGTATTCTAGAAAATGGTAAGTGCTACGGAGAGAGAGGGGCCTCACTTAGAAGGCTTGAAAGAGGTGAGTTGAAACATGCCATGTAGTTATATGGAGGGAGAGTGTTCCAGGCACAGGGAACAGCAACTACAAAAGCCTTGAGGTGGGAGTGGGTGCCATGTGTGAAAAACAGCAAGGCAGTGAAGGTGGCTGCAGGAGTGAAACGAAGGAGAGAGCCATAGGAGATGAGACGAGGTAAGTCACAGATGAGAGAGCAGAGACCATGAAGGACCTCCTAGCCTCCTGTAAGGGCGCTAACTTTTACGCAGTGAAATGGGAAACCGTTGCATGGTTCTTAGCAGTCAGCTGATGTAATTTGACTTAACATTTAAAAAAATCTCACTCTGGTGGCTGATATCAGAATAGACAGGCCAAGGGTAGGAGCAGGGAAACAAATTAGAAGGCTCTTGTAAAAATCCAGACGAGAAATGATGGTAACTTACATTAGTGTTTTCAATGCAGGTGGTGAGATGTGGTCTAGATTTATTTTGCAGGTTATTTAGCACAATTAGTTCACCATTCTAGGTAAAGTTTCATTCAGGAGGGGCAGCCTTTTTAATTGGATCCCAGAGCTGTAGCTGTCAAATGGTGCCCTGGACGACCCTGTAGCCTCTGAGAAGCATCATAGAGATTTGCTAGTAGGAGCTGGGATAGGACAAATGGGTCAAGCTTCATATTCCCTACCCCAGTTTTGTAAGGTCAGTTCAATGTTGACCTATTTCATTAAGTGTGGTGAGGGACATTTTCTTAAGAAAGACCAGAAACTCCAATGCCCTAAAGGAAAAGACAGACCACACATACACACACAGAAAAAAGTATACCGTGTATATAAAACTAAAAGACAAACTAGAGATTAGGAAAAATATTTGTAACAAAAATGAAAATAGTTTAATACCCCTAATACACACACACACACACACACACACACACACACACACACACACACACACACATATATTAAAAAACTCTTACAAAGTCATAAGTGGATAAACAAAAAAATGGGCAAAGGGCATTTTCAAAATTAGGCTTATAATAATAGTACCTTCTCCACTGGATATTTGTGAGGATAAAAATACAACATATATTAAGTGCTGAGCACAGTTCCTGGTAAATTTTCAATAAATGTTGCCCACCACTATTGCCACCATAACCACCATTGTTGCCACCGCTGCCTTCATGAAATGATTATCATCACTGCCATCACCACCATCAGCGACTTCATCCTCATCAGCGTTGGCGTTACCAATGCAAACCCGGTCAACCCTAAATTTTTCCAAGACGAAGTTTTAACTCACGGTGACCAATTATATATATATTACCTTTTCATGATTTTCTATCAGGATCTCAATAACAATGTTCTGAAATTTGATATCCATGATGGCTGCTACTGTTTCTTCCTGAGGCCGCAGCAGAGTAGGTCCAAACACCACGCCGAGATTTGCCACCGTCATCAAATTCTGCTTGTGGTTGTTAGCAACACTGGGAGAAATGAAAACAAAAGGCACGAATGAGAGCAATCGTGTACAAATAGTCAGCTGTCTCCCCTCTACCTTTCCTATCTTTAGACTCCTCATCTAGTAGGAGCCAGACCTTGGGACACCTTCCTTAGAGTTCAAAAAGAGACTTTTCTATTCATATTTTTATCTATCAAAGCTTCAGAAACCATCAGTGTTCAGGATATTTAGCCATTGACACTCCTTATCATTTCCATTTGGCCTAAAATGACCAAACAACCAAAGCAGCTGCCTTCCAAAATATGAACCTTTGCACATCTCAATCCCTATTCTGCAAATCCAAGTAACTACTAAACCCACTTAGTTACTTACGACTTCTAGGCTACTGCTTAAACCACCGTGATCATTAGCATTTTTCTCTAGCTCAAATATAAAAACACTTGAAGGCTTTAATTCATTTGTAAACATAGGCACAAAATAGACCTAATTTTTGAAATGCGTATTTCTGGATAATCAAAATGAAGTCAGGAAATTCAGCACTTTAGGCTCAAAGTATTAGAGCTCCATCATATCAAACATGTGGTTCACATTAAGGGAAACATGTGGCATAAACAGAAATAGAAATGCACTACTGCAGGTTTATGTATATGGCTGTGTTTATATTGTCATTCAAACTTAAAGTCTAAGGAACATACAGGGTCAGCAGTAGCTGGGTCTGACTAATTTACTAAACATATATGCATATTTTGGGATAAGCAACTACTCAAAACACATATCTAAACTCCACATCCAGACCACCATAACCTAGCCATAAAACTCAATTGTTCATTTGCTGGTTCTGCATATAAAAATATACAAATTATCTATCGATGACAAATAAGTTAAAGTTAAGTCCATTCAGTATTGTTAAGGAAACATTAGGGGCTTCCCTAAATCACCTGTTAGAAGAAGGAAATTATTCATTACAAGAAACTAGAAGGAAATTGGGCAGAGATATCAGTTTGTACAGACAAAACTCCCTAGCATTTAGTGCTATTTATATTGAGTATTTTTTTCACACAATTCTTTAAATGCCTACACTGTTTCTCTTGTATACTTCTATTTCGTAGAAGGGAAAGGGA